TATTCTCCCATAACTCTTTCATATTATTATTTCTTTTCAAATAAACACAATTTTCATAGAAATTGACATAGGTCTTATATATCTCTCTTCTCTCTTAATATTTTTTTTATCAGTTTATATTCTCTCCCAATTCAGATTCTTGTTTGTAAGCTAATTTAACAATTAGTAAACAAACTTATAACAATATCTATATTTTAATATAAAAATAAAAAATAATTATTAATAAAATTAAAATTATATATATAGAGAAAAATTTATATTTTACTATATTTAATTAATAAATTTTGATATTGTTACATTATTTTTGATTGCTATTATATATAAATAAATATAAACTATTATAATAAAATAAAAATATTATTTTCTATATTAAATAAATTAATATTACTTTTTATAATAATACATACTCCTATATTATATTATTAAAAATTGAAAAAAATATAGTAAAATATAGTAAAATTGACATTGATTCTTTATATTAAAATTTATTATTTTATTAATAAATATTTTTTATTTTATACTAAAATAAAGATAATAATTTATATTTTTAATATATATTCTTCTAAAATTTTCTGTTTACTTGTCAATATAGAAAAAAATTTTTTTATTATTAAAATTACGATTTTTTTAATTTTAATTATAAAAAACTTTTTTTATGTTTATAAGAGAACAAAAAATTCTAGAAGAATATATATCAAAAATATAAATTATCATCTTTATTTTAGTATAAAAATTAAAAATATTTATTAATAAAATAATAAATTTTAATATAAAAAACAATGTTAATTTTACTATATTTTACTATAATTTTTTAATTTTTGATAATATAATATAGAAGTATATATATATAATTAATTAAATTAATTACTGATACTTATTTGCTTTATTTATTATTCAAGTTATATAATTATATAATTATATAATTATATAATTATATAATTAATATATTTTTAAAGTGTGAGATCTTGTAATTAAGATTAGTAAAAGTTATTTAATTTATTAATATAATTTTTAGTAATCTGAAATTTATCTGAATTCTATTAATAAAAGATTGAATTTTATATGCAATTATTTTAAAATATTTGTTTAATATAATTATATAGAAAATAATTATAATAATAATAAAGTATTTCATATTTAAAAAGCAATTTGTACATATAGCAAAGTTAATATATATATATTTATTAAAATATAAATTAGTAAAATTCTCAATATATATAATCAATTGTATAATAATATAACAAATATATATATTGAATTTTTTATAGAATAATAATTCATATATTATTTAAATATTATATAAGATAATTTCAAAGTATAGCTATTAAAATTTTTTTATAATTATTATATAATTTTGATCTTATTTAAAGTAAAAATATTTGGTTATTTATTAAATTAAATATTGAAAAAGGGGTAAAAAAAATTGGTATTACAAGAGACTTTTATTCTACTAGTAAAAAAATGAGTGGATAAATTTTTCTGAGAAGCTAGGTTGATTTGAAAAACTTATGGTTCGAAGTAAAGCATTGCAGAATTCATGATTTTCATTATATTCAAGTCATAATCATCAATAGTAATTAGTAATTGCTGTAATAGATAGTTTCTAGAATATAGCAAGGAATTCACTAATAACATCTGATATTGATATATTTGTTATACAAAACCAAAGAGCAGTCAATAATTTTATTGTCATGAGATAAACACTTGTAATCTTGATTTGTGACAAGCGGCAAAAAGGTCTTGCATATTAAACTTGCGTAAGCGAAATGATAACACTTGCTGAATCAGAAAAAAGAATTCTATGAAATAATAAAATATCAGCACAAATGCTAATCTATTTACATTTACCATTGTATGGATACGGTTAAAAAATCGTAGAGCGGAACTATTGAATTACCGCACAAGTATAATAAAAATATTAAGTTTAAAAAGGTAATTGCAAAAAGACACTTGTTGTTTAACTATTTAACTTATCAGTATAACCAATCATCATCATCATCATAAACATAATTAAAAGTAGAACTATAATCATAAGTATAATCATAAGTATAATCATAAGTATAATTATAAGTATAATTATAAGTATAATCATAAGTAAAAGTAGGAGTATAATCATAATCATAATCATAATCATATTCGTCATCGACATCGTCATCGTCCAAATAACTCATAACTTCAACTTCAATTCCTCGGTCTTGAAATTTTCTAGCTTGATTTCTGGTCACATATTCTCCGAAAGAAACATCAAGTTCTTTAATACTGATATCCAAGCTTGAATCGTAAATCACTTTCCAAATAGTTTCCAAATGTCCATCTGAAATGCATTTGGATTCCGGAAAACCCAATAACTGAAATTTTACTTCTCTTGCTCCAAGCAAAAACATTTCTAGCGATTCCTCTGAAAATTCGAAATCTCCCTCAAAGCAAAGAGTCTCCAGTGTTTTCGGTAAGTTTTTCCCGAGTTCAGACAAAAGTTTGTCACCGTTTAAATTATCAAATACGTATATATTTAGACGTTTTAAGTTGTTGAACAATTTGATATAGGGAACTAGCTGACACAATTCCTCATATTCGTAGCAATTTATTTCGAGATTTGAAAGGTTAGGCGAGATTTTAGCTGCGGATTCAAGAATTTTTTTGCTGTTTTTAGCACCAGAGATGCTTAATTTGCGCAGTTTTCTTAATGATGCGTTGGCATTCGGTATTTGGTAAATATTCCAATCTCCAAAAGGTAGATGTCCCAACCGATAATCGAGCTCAAAAAAGATGTTCTCAGTAGTATTGATCAATTTATAACAAAGAACTTTCAGCGTACACAAAGTCACAATATCTCGACTATCTTGTGGCAATGTGTTTAGCAAACTAAACAAATAGTCTTGAATCGCTTCCGCCAGAAAATGCATGTCTATTTGCTTGATTAATCGATAATATAAAAATGGTGCTCTTTGTTCATCGTTTAATGCTAAATATTTTACAAGCGTCGAAATAAATGCTGGACCGCAGTGTGATGAAAAAGATGAAAAAGGGAACGGGTTTCGCCATAAAATCGGGACTGCATTCATACACCAGTAGCGATTGACGAGTGCACAGTTAAATAAATTTTGTTGATCTTCATATTCGTCAATACTGACGAATTCAAATATTTCTTGAAGACACAAGTCATTAAGTTTAGCAGCCATTTTCCTTGTAACATTCAAGAGAAATGTGTTTACCACTTCCGAGATGATAAACAAAACATTAACTGGTTTCAATAACGATAATATGCTTGTGTATCGAAGCACGATAGAAATTGACATCATTTAAATTAGCAATTCTATGAAGATCATTATCGTTATCTGTATGACGAAACTTTTTATGGCAGAAACAAAAAAAAGGAAGGAAAGAATAATGACGACTTACCCTGAACAGTCAGATTCTAGGTTAGCAGCTCTTGGAGCAGCTAATGGCCTTGCACAGCCACCCAATTACTGCCAACATTAGCATTGGCTGCTGGTTGAATTTCCCTGCATATTCTTGCACACTGTTTAGATTTTCATGGCACTTGAAAATTTCTCCTTCTTTCCACGTTGTTAGATTTAAGAAAAAATAAAGAATTTGTTTATAATTTCATTATTAGCCACATTGAGAAATTTTCTTTATTTTTTTTTGGAAAAAGTCAAATTCGAGAAGAACGAAATAATGTTAAAGATCGAGTAATGGAGAAAAGCATACTTTCTTTCACTGGTCGAACAGGGTTTTTTCACCTGAGCAAAATTCGATGTAAAAATATGGGTAATATCGTGGGTTTCATACTGATGAATCCAAAGGCAAAAACATGGGTTAATTTTTCAAAAAGTTGCAATTCCATATCTGTATTTTAGACCAGAAAAAAATTAGGACAAAAAATTCACCTAAAAATCTTGATTAACCAATCATTTAGATCGCTGATCCAAATGTTTTCATGCCAAAAAAACAATTGACAAATCGTCAATAACTCGAGTTTTATTAAGCAAACTTAGGCTGAGTGACTAAGAAAAAAATACTCAGCGTACAATTTTTGATATATGTTCGTGATAAATCTGGATAGCTTACCAAGCGCGTAATTGTTACATAGACTTCTTATCGACTTCAGATTGCAACGTAACCCAATAATTGACCGTAATTTTGACCATGATTTTATCTGGTCTAAAGTGCAGGTAAAAATATGTATGGAGTTGCATCTTTTTTGAAAACAATTATTTTTGCCATCGAATTTTGCCCAGATGAAAACAACCCTGTTCGACCAGTGAAGGTTTGCGAGTCAAAGCTTTTGTGTGTTATCGTTATTGTTATGGGGTTCTATTACTTATTCTGATAACGATAGAAAGCTTTTAACACAATAATATTGATATTCTATGTAAGTATACCTCTTCCTTTAACACGACAGTAACGATACACTTATTTTACCATATTTTCAGAGTTTAAATAAACACAGCACAAAACTATTTTATAAAGATAGAATCTAAAGTCCCGAATACTCATAATTTTAGTAAATGTAATAAATGCCAAAATATTCATGTTAAGGTTGTTACCAGATAAATAAGCAATAAAGGAAATTTTCATATTATACGTGGTGATTATGTTAAAAAATGAATTTTTTGATCTTTTGAGAAAAGTTTGCAAGCTATTTATATAAAAATGAGTGTTAAACCTAATTGATACAAATAAAGGCAATTGACATTAAACAAATACGTATAACGATAAGTGTAATTCTTATTTATTTAAAGAAATATGCAACACTACCGCTTTCTTTAAGATAGCATGCTTAAAATATGCATGCCGTTTTAGGAATTTACTCAATCTATTCTTCCATTTGATTTCTGTTGTATCATGGACCAATCAATTTTTTAAACACACACTGCCCAAGTACATGTAAATACATGTACGAATACTGTATTCACAAAAGACTAAAATGCGTAATTTATTTCTGAGAATAAATAAATATGTAAGAAATAATATTAGTAATAAAAAGAATAAAAGTTTGCAAACAAGGAAGTGGGCTATTTATATAATAATGTAACCTAATTGATACATTCCTATTGCTATACATAACATATATTGATATTAATAGCGATACAATTCGTATTATCGTTATTAACATTTTCATCCGAGTAATATAAGAGCATGTATCAATTAACAATTAATATTACATAAATTTATTATCATAAAGATTTTTATTAAATATTATTTTTATTCCAATTTAATTAGAAAAAGAAATTATTATTTTTCACGCGAGACCATCAGGGCGAACCTCGTCGAGAGCAAAAAGAATTTACTAAAAAAATCCTTAGTAGCATCATCCTTAAAAGTAAATGTTTGTGGAAGTGCAAAGGTTGTCGCAGACATGAATAGAATAAATAAAGCTTTGCAGGTGATTATTATGTTAACGTTAGACAATGAAATTTTTGAGAGAAGTTTATTTATAATACATGTAATTGGCGTTAGCTACACTATTGATACAAATAAAAGTTCTTATTTATTTAAAAAGCTTGAAATACTGTATTTGAGAGAACTTCATGCAAATTTTTATGACTAATACGTATATGTGTTGTGCCTAAATGTCAATCTGGGCAGCCCAAATCCCACTTAGAATTTGAGGCAAAATTATTGCCCAAATTGACAATTGGGTTGATTGACACTTGGAGCACAAGATATGCATGCCTGCTTTATCAATTTATTTTTTTGCATCTTTTGTTTCTGCATATGTGCATTTAAATACGTACTCTTTAACGGATCTAATCAATTTTTTAAATACAGTACATGCACACTACGTATTGTTATATTGCTAAAGCGATAGGTTTTATTGAAATAAGTAAATACATGTACTTGTACCGACACCGTATGTTCACAAATGACTAGAATAGCTGAAAAATAAATCCTATTTTTTTTTAATTATGTTGAAAATAAAAATACAATAATATTACACTATAAAAATACGTATTTATGTTTAAAAAAATATTAATGTGTAAAAATTGTCCGTTTCTTACTGACATTAGTAAAGTTGGCAAGCAAGGAAATAAGCTATTTATATAGGAATGGACACTCGCATCATACATGTAATTGACAAAAATAAAAGCAGTCTAACAAATACATGTACATAGTTCCTATTTATTCAAAGAAGCTGAAATATAGTTGTTTTCTCTGAGATAACTTCATGCAGAAGTTTTTTGCTCCTTTTATTTCTGCGTAGATACATTTGAACTGGAGATTTTTTTAACAAATACATGAACATCGATATGTACATGTATACTACGTGTTGCATTTTTCTAATTCCTTAAATGCATGTACAAATTCAAAAAAATTAATGGATACAACGGTACATGTGTATATGTATCATTGATACGTATACAAAAAAATACTTTTTTTAACATTACCGTTATTACATCTTTTCACAATCACACCTTTCTTTTGTGGAAGTGTTATCTCGCAACAAAGCAAATGTGTGAAAATAATAGAATTCTAGAACTTTCTAAAATAACGCTGATATATATCTGAATTTGTGTATTTTAATACTATCGCTATATATAGAATGATATCAATAATAAATTTCGCATGCTTGCTCCTGAATAATCAAAAACTACACGTGATACCATAATTACTAAAAATTATATCAAAGATTTTACGCATAATGTGAAATTCTCGGATGTGTTCTCTTAAAACTTATTGCGCAAACAATCAAATCAATTTACTCGAGCAAAGATAAATATAACCAACTAATAAATAGTTCAAGTTCTTTTTCTTAAAATATTCTTGGCGAAATAAATATTTTAATTGGTTATGTGTTCATTGATTCTTTTAACGTTTTTATGACAGAAATTTTCTTATAAAAAGACTCCAAAAATTTATTTACACTTTCATAAAAAAACACAAAAACATTCTCATTTTTATAATAAAAAACCACAAAGATAATAAAAAACTACAAACTTTTATTTTATAATGACATGTTTCAAAAAACTTCCCGAGGTCTTTATGATCTTAGTAATTTGCCTTTTTGTTGCATTTGATGCACAACCTATTCCCAATCTAGCTCCACGTCAATCTATTACTCCCACTTCAAATCTGGCTTTAGGTCAAACTATTCTTCTAGATAGGTTTTGGGATAAATTACCACCACCATTATCTTCTTCAGGTCAAGGTTTCTGGTCTCCGACGATGAATCTTAGTTGGATGTGGATCAATTGTTCCGGTGGTGGCGGCGGAGGAGGCGGAGGAGGAGGCGGCGGCGGAGGTGGCGGTGGTGGCGGTGGTGGTGGAGGTGGTGGTGGCGGTGGCAGCTGTTCCTAGAGGACTTGATTAAATGCGTGTACATAAAAATGATTTGGTTGATAGTTGCTTGATAATATATTGTAAGCATACTTTATCCATGCTGATGTATAAAAAGTAAATAGCTTGTATATATACTGTATTTTGATTCACCAAATATGTCCGTATAATTAACAATTAAATTCACGCGTTTTTAATTTGATCTAATCCAATATATTTGTATGGAACTATTTTTTTGCCGAAATAAACTTTATATGGAGTGAAATGCCGTTAAGATAGCTTGTTTTCTCCTTTGATCGCAATGCTATATACGCGGTTTAGGTATTTCGTAGAGCACCGGCTCTAGTATCCCATCCTCCCAACCTTCTACACCAATGAAATCACTGAACCCGTGAATATTACCGGGTTCTATGCAATTTCTAAGGTCAGAATTTCACCCGGGTACTAGAATCAGTACTAATGATACTTGAAGATGACGAAACCTTTCGTCACGAACATTTTGAAAATGTCTGACGAATGACGAAACCTATGACGAAACCTTCTGACCAATAAAATTCTAGCTCGTAATTGACGATGACCATTTTTGGAAATGAGCGAATGCACAAAATGCATCTTTAAATATCAACAATACATCGACATGTACCGATACATGTATTGATTTTCACGAAACCTTTCGCCATGGACACTTCGGAAATGTAAGTGGCGAATGACAATTTTGGCAAACTAAACCATAAAAACAATAGGTCAAGTCAAGCTTTATCAATTTACCGGTTCGCTATTTACTCCATTTATAACTCAATACATTCAGAGGTTTAACATTTTCTGATGTACCTACTTTCGTTCTTTGTCTCAAACATCTTTGAAACTGTCTTAGTTCACCAATATAGGTTGCTATTCGGCATATACTTGATGCCCTTTAGTTTTCAACGGATCTGGTGCGACATCCCGAGAACCACAATCTAGAAAGTTGATTTGCCCGACAAACGAAATCCTGAAAGTTCAACCCAAAATTCCAACTTCCCAAAAATTCATCATCTCGAAAAACCTACATCCCGAACACTCAACATCCGAACACTAACATCGCGATAGTTCAAAATCCTGAAAATTCAAATTCCTGACACTTCAAATTTAGTAGTAAGCGCTATATGATAAGCTGATTTTTATGAAATTTGGTAAATAGGTAGATTTTGTAGAGTAAAACATTCTTCAATGTGAGAAATTTACTAATTGTAAATTTTGATTTAAATCACTATTTCACAAAATAATCTATTGTCAAATTATTTTTAAAAAATATTAGAGTTTCAAGGTTTCAAATGGATACTATTTTATTTTGTTCAAACTAATAGTCATGGAAATAAAAATTCTATAAAATTAATTTTCGTGTTCCATTACATGTGTGAACCACTGTATTTGTAATTGGCAATGTGATGAAAGAGGGGGAATAGATAAAACTAAATTGAATCGGATTGCTCTTGTATAAACTAACAAATGATAACGATAAACAATTTTTATCTGGATGCTTATTTATAATTTGCCTTTTTTGTCTTTTACAACCCTTCGTAATTCCCTTTATCTGCATTAGATTTTAAACATTACGTCTTACATATAAAATAATGTAGTTACAAGAATTAATAATAAAAAATATTAATTACATTCAGAATTTGTAGCAGCACTAACAGTCACTTCTAATGATAAATGAAAGAATTTCTTTACAGTTGTAGTTGCATGTTGTGTTTTTTCATTAGATTCTTCATTTTTAGCAGCGGTTGTATTTGATTTTTCAGACATTGCGGTAGCATCCACACCATGAGGCTCAAGTTTTGACGCTGATGGTTCTAATGATCCAAATCCAATGAGCAAGAGAGCATTCTGAATATCCTCATTTGCAATGTTGGCGAAATGAAATTCAACATGATGTGCTGCATATTTATTCAACTTTTTTCGAATATCAGTCAGCGATTGGGCGCCTGTCGAATCAATACATTGACACCCGCAAAGTCCAATATAACAGCACGTAATCTTGGTGCTTTCTCATTTTCGTCCTCTTTTGCACCTGCATCATTCTATGGTCGATCTCCTTTCTTTTCTGCTCGTTCGAAGAATCGTCGAGTCTGTTTCTTTGCGTACCCGACAATAAGTTTATCAACGAAGCCGACGTTTAGGTAGGTAAGTGATTCACCGATGAATAAATAAATATATATCATAAAAATGAGAATTAATATTTACTTCAATGGTGGTGAAGAAGGTGAAAACTACCCCCACAAAAAATACTGCGAAATCCAAGAATTGAATTTTGTATAAACCTGTAATGTAACTCCACGGTGACACTAAATCCAATACAGCATGAATAATCATAGAATTATCGTTATTATCGATACGTATTCAGTAGTTATTTCGCAAGCGCAGAATCCGGAATATAATAGAAAGCGGGTGTCAAGAAGTATAAGGCCAAAACGACCAATATGGCAGAGAAAATATCCGCAAGTGGAGTTCGTACACCAGATTTTGATTTAAGAGCTGTACGTAAGAAATAACCGTAACCCCGAAGGAATGGCCCGATAACATTTGTAATTCCAATTGCAATCATCTCTTGACAGTATAATTGTTAATTCGCCCAAAGTTTTTGGATATAGCGACGTGTTCCAAAATCAAGATGATAACAATAACCGGAATATAACTTATGATGTGACATAGAACTTCACTATTCACAGGTGGAACTCCAACATGACTAAAACATTTTGGGACAGTCGTTAAAATAACGATTGGACTGGTGCTTTTTCCAATATTGACTATGTAAGCGATAAATGTTGCAAAAATTACAATGCCGATGTTTCGGAGAATTGAAATGAAAAAGAAAGCATGTTCATATCTTTCCTATTACTGCATCGATTTTAGTTCTGCCCAGTGCTTTGAAAGTTTTAACCAGGACCAAATATCCTGCTTCTTTTGAGTTAATACCTTTTATGCTCATCAATTTTGAAAATTGACCAATTGCAATACGTAATTCCAAAACGTAAGAAACCGAGAATAGCCGAAATAAGACCAGCCATTAAAGTTAAAGCATTTTAATTTCAACATTAGAATACATCGGATGCTTAGGATCCGGATTAGGCCAATCAGCTTGGATTTTCACGACGGATTGATCCAACAATAGTGACATGACAGTTGTTGTCCAATGGTTATGTCCTTAGATGTAGCAAACAAAGCATAAATGGAGACGCCCACAAAAGACGTATATAGACCATATTCAGGGGCTAATTCAGCAATTTTGGCGTAGGCCATTCCTTGCGGAATTACCACTGCACCAACCGTTAGACCGGCAATCACGTCAGACATCAACCAAATTAGATTATATTGCTCTATCCGGTCTTTAATCGGATATAAGGATTTCACATATTCTGCAGCATATTTTGTAAAATGCTGGGGTGATTCATTTACTCTATCTTTAAACATGGGACGCGGATGTCTGAACGGATATAATGTGTCAGACATTTTGTTGTTTTTGTTATCTTAGGCAATTGAATATTATTGAAATCGTAAAGTCGAGGAAAGGTCTTTATATACAAAACACGAAAAATCAGAATCGATTAAAGGTTGAGACGTATAAAACACACACATAAAAAAGAGATAAATAGAAAATGAATTCGAGTGATTTGTGAGAAAAATAATTGCGTTACTCTTTTTACGCGCACAAACCAAATTTATAAATTATTATCGTTATCAATCACAAATGCATCAATAATGTACGCCAAACCTGGAGAATATTTAAGCTTTATATCACACAAGCACCGCGTGTTTATTTATATAATAATGAAAATTATGTAGTGTTCGCTCGCGTTTTACAGAATAAAAAGAAAGCAATCGTTTCTACATGTATTTGCATATCGATTTTGATTTTAATTGAATGTGTCTATGCATGCTGTTGTGTCTGCGTGTTAGTGAGAACAAAGAGACAACATATTAATCAATAGAGAAAACACAGCAGGATAGAAAGAAAGAGAGAGGGTCAATTGGGAATGACTTGCAGTAGAAGAGATTTGTGATGCGTTTATTCTTCAAAAATTGCAATTTTACAAGATCTAATCAATTAATCGTTTAAAATTTCTGAATATTGAAACTTTCCTTTGAACAGGGGTCCACTAAAGCCAGATAGTATCAATAATAAAGATAATTATTATTAAATTGATCGATTGTTAAGCATACCAAAGATAATTCCTGCGACAGTGAAACTGAAAATAAATAATTGAGTTCTGACTCTTCGACCGGAAAAAGAGAAACCTCCCACCCCCGAGACACAAAACAAAACACTCCACAAGAAATAATAATTATTAATTATTAATAAAATTATAAGTAATTTTTCGGACCAAATCCAAAATTATTATTCAAATTAATTGATTATTATAGCGAACACAGTGCTCGTCAGAAGTAACCTATCCCTATAACCTTCCATAGATCATGTGAATGCCAAAATTTTTCGAGCACAAATGCTGAATATTGATACATTTATACGTAGATTGGTAAGCTTCGGGTAGTGATTATGGTTGATAATCAAAAAATTGGCCAAAGTCGATTTTTCGGCCTAGTCGGATGGTTTTGAAAAAACCGGCTCAGCTGCAACATACTAAAAAAGGGGGAACACTAAAGCAAGGTAGTGGATTAAGATCGATCCAGATTAAGTCAATACAGATTAAAAAAATAAATTGG